TTAGAGGAAGGAGATGATGTGGGTGCAGCTGCCTGGACAAACTGCTGGGAACAGAGGCGAAGCTTACCCAGGGGTGCAGCCGGATTCCGGCGGGGGAGCCAGCCAAGGGCAGAGCTGGAGGGCGCAAAGAAACAGGCTCGAGGGGCAACACAGAGACAAAAGCCACTGGGAGAGGCACAGAAAAGTGGGGCCGAGTGGCTCCGAGGTCTGAGCCAGCACCACACCAGCAGTGCTCTCCAGACTGGGCACTGGAGACGCCGAGGCACGGCGGAGGAGAGGGAGTCTGCCTGGGCACACAGGTATGATCAAAATATATGGCAAATCTAAAAAAAAATTCTTAAATTTATTGCAGTAGAAGACACACTCCTGCTAATCCCTCGCAGAAAGCTTCCCTCCTCCCTTCAAGCACACTTATCCCATCATTCTTAAGCTTTCTGAAGCAGCTCTGGAAGTCTTCTTTCATGAGTGTCTTGAGTTGCACTGTTGCAGTTGCCTCCGCATCTTAAATGGCTTCAAAATGTTCACCTTTCGTGGTCCTTTTGACTTTGGGGAAGGGCCACAAGATGCATGGTGCCAGATCCGGTCATAAGGGAGGTGAAGACACACCATGGTGTTTTCACTTGGCAGAAACTGCCGTAAACATTTTGAATCAATTCAGGATATTGAGGCAACCATGAAAAGATACTCTCAAAGGACAACTTCCAGATGGGTTTTAGAAAGGGGCAAAAATGATGCAATGAGTATGTTCAAAGACAAAGGAATATTTTTAAGGGAATTGGTGGCAAGGTGTCTTTCAATGTAAGCAATTTTTTAAATTTTTATTTAAACATTTGCCATAATTTTGATCACGCCTCCTGGCAGGATGAATATACCTGAGGCACAACCAGGGAGCTGCACCCTGAGAAGGAATAAATCTAGAATCTGGGAGCAAGCACCGATTCTGAAGATCAATCCCTGCCCCTGCTACGGGGAGCCACCCAGGTGTGCTGTGCACAGGCTCTACATCTCTGGGGAAAGCCTGGAGCTCAGGACGGCAGAAATGACATTCAGGGCAGTGGCTCCTGGTACCTGGGGTCTCCTAAGAGCTATCCAGTTGGCCCTCTATACCCACAGGTATAGCTAACCATGGATCTAAAATATTTTATAAAAGCTTGTTTCCTCACTAAACATACACAGGCTTTTGTCCTGTCACTACTACACTCACTAAGGCAGCACACCACACATTACATTGTATTGGGATGGCAAGTGTGTAGGGATTATTCCAAATATACGAGAGGACAGGAATCTACCATGAGACTTGAACATCCTCAAATTTTGGGACCCTGGTGGGAGAGGGGAGGTCCCAGGACCCACTCCCACTGGAATGAGTGCAGAATTCATTCTTTTTCATACTCTTCATCTTATCACAGACCTAGCTCATCGTGGCTATTCAAAATTGCTCTACACTTGAGCTAAACACCATCTCATTCCAGGACCAGATACAGATGTCCCCGCAGCTACATCTTAAAAGAACTGGCAAGGTGCCTGCTTGAGACACCAAAGAGAAACAAAAGGAGAAAGAAAGCAAAAGTGAGTCTATTCACAAACTTCCTGTACTCACTAATGCCCACAACGGCTTCATGAAAGTTTTTTTTTTTTTTTCCCCACCAATTTACTTCAAGGCCTTATTAAGCACCAGGTTAAACCAGATTCACAGGTCCCCCAGCACCATCCTCTGAAGATTTGTGACACCTCCCCGGTGATACCAGGATGCTGCACGTGCCTGGAGGACCCATGGTCTCAGCAAACGCCCAGGTGAGGCCATGAGCAGCTGGGGCCTCCTTCCACTGGCTCAGTGGGGAACGGACAACACCAGAATGTCATAGAAAAAGGAGGCCCTCCACACGAGATGGAGTGACAGTGACCACCACGTCTGCATGGTTCCTACCGGCCAGGGACCGCGCCAGTGCAGCCTCAGTCCGGCTTGATGACAGTCCTACCCCTCTGCAGTGGAGGACCTGGGATGAACACAGCAGGGCCACAGGTGCTGAGGTTGGGGGTGCAGGTGTGTACCATGACCGTCGCCTTCCCAGGCACACAGGGTAAGTATCAGCAAGGACTGCCCTTACTTCTGACTGTAGTCCTCCCCTTGGAAAAAGGGAAGTCCCTGCTCCCCTTCTTCCTGGGGGCTCTGCGACCCTAAAGCCCATAATCTTTTCCCCAGACACCACCCCGCCACCTCCATGACCCCTAGGCCAGCCTGGATGGCGCCTGCAGGCTTCATCTGGAGTCTCTGCTCACCCATCCCCACACGGAAAGGGCAAAGCATGTCCCCGGCCCTGCACCGGGTCCCTCACAATGCCCCATTGTGCAGCATTCGGGGATAGCTCTGTCCGGTGGCCATACCATTTTCTGCTGCTGACATGTCATCTTTTTTCAACTGCATTTTGCTCCACAGGCAGTGCCACATCAGAGAGAAACAGAGCCCATGGCCCGGCGCCCTGGGAAACACACAGCCAACAAGGGCACAGTTGCGGACCCATCTGCCAGCGCAGGTGACACGGCTTGGAGAGCCAGAAAGATGAGAAGGAAGAGGTCACGTGGCCTTCCCACCAATTTACTTCAAGGCCTTATTTCGTCAGCAGCACATTAGGTCTGAACTTGACTCTGTTCAAAACATCCCAAGCATTTCTCCCTGGCTTCAATATGCATTAAAAAAGAAAAAATCCTAGTCTCATCACAGGCAGGTCATATGGAAGTTGCATTAAATTCTTCCCCCTTGCAAGGCCCCAGCCACTCACTCAGTTGAAGCAATGCGGAAGGTACTGCACTCATGCAGAAAAGAGAAAAAGTCCTGATTTTCCTCACCCATCTCCTTCCTGCCCCCAGGAAAGGTTGGTTACTTGCAAAAGAAGTTACTGACATTTACCGTGAGGCCCGACGATGCTGAGCACACACGCCAGCTCTGCTTGCTTCCATTCCTTGCATGCTCATTTAATCCCCTCCTCTTCAGCCTGGCGATTGCATCACAGAGCCACATCAAATGCCATCGCGCTCTGCCTGAGCAGGCAGGACAGCCAGCGGGACTCTCACTCGCTTTTCCGAGGCTCTGCCTGCAGGGCCATCTGCTCCTGTTCCGGGCTCCCTGGGCCAGCGCAGAGGTCACTGGACGCTCCTCTCTCTGCAGAGGGGCCCATCGAATGCACCGGAAGAAGCTGAGCAATGGGCTGAAGCTCGGGTCGAGTGTGAAGAGTGAAGAGGCGCAAGCAGGAACCCCAGGGAGGAGAAAACCGATGCATGGGGCCTCCCAAGGGACAGGGGCCCTTCGGTAACTGCCAGCACTAGACTAACGGGCGAATCTCTCTCTGCACTTGGTACATCACCAGTGAGTAGCTGGGTAAGAATTCCTGACGCGGGTGAGCCGCTACGGCCCACAGAAGTGAGGTGACTTGCCCAAGGTCACACTGCAAGTGGTTTCTTCCCCAAGGGCTCCCACTGGGGAATTCCTCCAAAAACAGACATCATCCCCCACCCTCACTCAGGAAATACCACTTACGGCTTATTTACCCTGTGACGAGTGCCAGTGTCCATCTGAACTCAAAAGTGAGGCCTTCTAGTTTAACACGTGATCTTGCTTCTCCAAGCTTAGGATACCATATCCCACCCAGAAGCAGGGGGCAAATGCCCACTCTTGAGGCACCACCAACGGAGCAGGTGCGTGCCATAGCCCCAGTCGAGGGTGTGCATGCAGGGCCCTCTGAGACGAGCACCCACAAGGCTAGAACCAAGGCCTACACCAAGACACAAGTAAGGGAGCTCAACTTGTAGGTGGAAGCTGAAACCACAGAGAGGAAGCTGTCCTGTGTCAGACGCTGAAGACCAGGACAAGGAGTAAATGCGAGATTCAATATGCAAGAGAAAGACTGCAGGGGGATGGCAGGCAATGTTCCTCCACCTCCGATAAGACAAGAAAGATGCTTCCAGATGGGCCCTGGGGCCCTCAAGCCCGAGGTAAAGTGACCATTGCCGGAAGATATCCAGGAGGACAGGCTTCTTAAAGGCAGAAGCAGCCAAGATCTTTCAACTCTGTCTGACCCTCTTCTGAACCCAACTGTTAGCTTTTCCCATATGACAGATGGTACGCTGACTTTCACTCTTGGATAAAATCTATTTTCTAAAACACGCATCTGGTGGACCACTGCACAGCATGCCCACCCCCTCAAATCCAGAATGACCTTTACAAGAAGGCACTCTGGAAGCTGAGCACTTACAGTAAGCACCCTTATTGCTCTTAACACAGACACTATGTCCGGAGGACGCCCTTTAGATGTGACTGCACCGAAAGCATCACATGAAGCAATCTATGAAGAGCATCCAGCTACGGGAACCATCAGTTTTCATATCTAAAGAACAAATACCAGTGGGTCCTTCTCTAAGCACAGCTGCACAAGTTTACATCCCATACCGGCTGAAAAGCATTCCTGTCATTGGATTGGAGGGTCGAGGTTCAGCATTTCATTTGCTACACCCCATGTTACTTCTGAGAAGCATACTTAGGATTCTTCTGCTACCGGGGATTGAACTCAGGGCTTTGTGCATGCTAGGCAAGCACTCTACTGCTGAGCTATATCCCAATCCCAGGCATCACACTTTAAAAAATCAAAATCAAATATTTAGGAGCAAACTATCAAAACTAATGGTTTTGAAGATGACTCCAACGCTGTGTTTTTACAATTAAGTCACATTTGGGAGTCAAGGAAGACAAAAGACCCGAAGCAGAAAAAAACAAGAAGCCATTCTTCTTATCCTAGCAAGATTCTCTATGACTGCAGAACTCAGAGTTTGACAGGAAATAAGAGTAAGGAGATTAGACAAATTAGTAACCCATCCAGACCCTTATTTAATAAGTCAAGCCTCTGCTAAGGCATCAACCTTTGGAATAAAGCATCAACAACTGCAGATTCATTTTCACATGCCACGATTCCTTAGCAGCACAATGAGGATGCTGAAAAGCGTCTTACTGATCATGGTGGTACCCCCAGCCAGAGCCGCCTTGGTCCCCTGGAAGAAGTCATCAGCTGATGTCATTCCCTGGTCGGGCATCTGGAACCGAGTGTGGACATCAATTCCTCCCGGGATCACCATTCTGGAGTGGGCCTCGATGGTCTTCACCCCTCCCGGCACAATGAGGTTTTCTCCTATTTGCCTAAGCAAACAGAGTTGGTGAGAAGGGCAGTCATTGAGGTGTGGAGTCAAACAGGACCTGACAGTTATCCTCACTGACCTACCCTCCACTATTGCCACAGACTTCTGCAATTATTATAACTCCTCATAGACGCATCCCCCACTCCTCATCCTCAAATAAGAGGGAGCACAGAGCAAAATTTACAAAGGGCACCAGAGGCCCCATCCAACGGATGACACCCAGACCCGAGAATAGTTAGATAAAATGTCACTCAACCTTCCTCTAACACACACCATTCAGCTCATTACCCAGCATCAATTTGCTGCAGATCTGGCTGCACTTTCTGCACATTCAATTTCACCATATTCTTTCCACTCAAGAGAGCAGTAGAAAGGGTGGAGGTGAAAGCGGAAGTAGAACAAAACAAGATGGGGGGAAAAGTGAACATGATAACTGCAACAATTTGAAAACGTGGAAGCAGGTGTCCAGCAATAGGGACAATAAGAGCAGAAAAATAAATATTCATCACGCTGGGGGACATGATTCATTTCTAAGCTTTTACAAGTATTTTTACTACATCTTTACACCAGTTCTTCAAAAAGGAAGTTAATCAGCAAGGAACTGATGAAAGTTCTAAGGCACACGAGTGCTGACTGAAGACAACGCAAGCCCGCGCCCCCCTCAGGGCAGATTGGATCGGGCTATCTCGAGATTGGGGGGGGAATGGAATAAGAAGGTCAAGGCATGGGAGAGTCCCGAGCTGAGACCGTTACCAGCAAACACACGCGGAGAACTCATTCAATGTGGAAATGTTAAAACCTATTTTAGGCTCATAAATCAGGGTGTGAGCTTCCAGGCAATAGCCTCAGCCCCTCCAGTTTTCCACTCCTCCCAGCCGGTCCGCTGCTAGCACTTGATGAATGCTGCTTATTTAAAAGATGTCACTGGCAGCAGTGTTTGCCTTAAGCAGATGTGCTGTTTCTCCAGAGCCTTCGAGCTGTCCCAGTGAGAAGAGCACGGGGACACTGGTATGCACTTAGCTCCTTTCATCCCCCAGGCTCCAAACTTACCCAAACTCATAACAGCCTTGTTGTTCCTCCTCCGTAACACAATACACAATAAACACAGGGGCAGCCTTATTTGTGCTGGTTGCCACTTAAAGAATGAAACCTAAAATTCCCCCGGGATTAGGCAGTAATTTGTCTGTGTTACTTGGCAATTAACTTGGTAGATGTCTGTGGTTCCTCCTACTTGGACTGAATCAGGCCCCTTCTGATTAAGAAAGCAGAGGAGCTGCCTTGATAGAAGAGGCTATGTGTTCGCATCCTCTGATTGGGCAATCCACCCCAAACAATCACATTCTAGAGAAACCTTTAGCATATTCAACGTATCACAATCCAAGTCTTTGAGCTGGCAACAAGAAGATATTGTGTCACCTCTGTTAAAAATAGTAAATTACATAATACAAAATGCAATGCGTATGCACGGATTGGGACTGCGAAGACCCTAAATCTGAATTCTCGAATTCATTCATTGCTACCAATCAAAATGGGCTTAAAACAGCATCTCAACTGGTCCCTCTTTGAGGCAGGAAAGTGTCTAAGGTTCGGGAACACTGGGAGTCAGATCTGTACGTAATAATGAGTCACACTTACTTGATCAGCCCATCCTCCATGTATATGTCTGCATAAAACGACTGGTCATCATTAACGATTTTACCACCTTTGATCAGAAGGCGATCACTCTGAAACAAAAAGGCAGGAAGGTTACAAGGCATACCTGATCTGTGAGAAACGCGGTACTAAGAAAACTTAGCTGAGGGCACGTTTGTACTATTCTAAAGTGACAGTCCCAGTGAGCCAATTTGGGGAAGGTTCAGTAATACAAGTGAACCTGGATGCAGCAACCTATTCGTCATCCTAAACCCGTGAACCACCTCTTTCTGTCAGACCTTAGATCTGAAAGCAAAATAAGGGGGAACGGCTCACTGAAGAGCAGTAAAAACACTTCAGATAAAGAAGACAATACTTTTTTAAATGACTTTTGGCTAAACTTCATTAAAAACACACACACACATGTAGGAAAGTCACAGCTTGGCAAGATTCATGTGCGGAAAAATTGACCAAAAGCCTGTTGTCATGGGATCTACTATACAAACACACTTAGTTCCACCATAATGAGGCTCCAATGCCGTATGTCCCTTTATATTTGCCATTGTCCCTTTATATTATATCTGCCCCTGTGTTTATTGTGTATTATCTTTGGGGTAAGTCATAGCAAGTGTATCGGGGTGGAAGAGGACTAGAAAGAAACACAGCATTTTTAACTAACCAGTTAAGAGAAAGGTAAAGTTTTATCAGGAAGTAGATAAGATGATAAATTTAAAATCTAACACCACTATAGATTGATGGTCTTAACCGATATTTGTGCAAAACAAAAATTGAAAAACAAAAAAAAAACAATCTGCATTTTAGGGCCAAGAATGAAACAGAAATGCTGCATAATGACCCGTAGCTATCCCGGAGACAGTATCCTTGATGAAATGGAACGTGAACACTGTGTGTTCAAAATATCCACCTGTCCTATTTCAAACTGGATTTATGCTTTAGAGGCCGAGCCATACACTGCCCTTTAAATATGCAACACATTTCAAAGGACGTCGTTCATCTTGACACTGGTAACCCCAAAATTCAGTAACAATACTGTCAGCAAGCACTATTTATGTTTAACAGAAAACTGTAGAAACCTTTAAAATATATAACCTACCAGAGAGCAAGGGAAGACATGCATTTACACACAAATATACACAGCGAGGTTTAGGAAATTCTTTCTTGTTTCTCCGATAGATTAAAGAAACAGGTTATTTTAATTTTGTACACTATATTCATGTTGATGTTGACATTGGAAAGTCAAATGGAAGTGGTCTACAATTGCTGCACCTGTGTGCGGTAAATGTGAGGACCTTTACCGAATCCTGCAGGGTGCATCACGCCATAGCAGGCTCAGAACAAACCTAGGAGGTGGAAGGCACAGGATTCTCATTACCACAGGGGAGCTGTAGCTGAGAAAGAGTAAGCCTACAATGATGCCACCACCCCCTCAGATCTGAAGCTTCAATAATATGGGAGATCAGGGAAAGCGCCCACCCCACCCCACCCCCCATAACACCTGCGCCTTAGCCTCTTCTGCGGCGGAATCCCCCAGGCAGCATCATGTCCTGGAGAAAGCCAAACCTCACAGTCCAGCTCACTCCAGTGCCTTCTAGAAGGTTTCTTATGTAAGAGGCTGGCCATGGCGGGGGAGGGAGGGAAATCATGTATAGGTCCTAGGATAATGCAAACATATTTCTGTGGGGCGCTATTTTAAAACCCGATCTTGTTGACTGTTTGCCTAATTTTTTTTTTTCTCTCCTTTCCATCCTGTCAAAATGAAACTGACCTGGTGCACTGAGGGAGACAGCAAATTATCTTCGCTTGCCGGAAATCTGCTCCCCACCCCCACTCCCTCCCCAGGCTCCTTTCTTCAGCGCAGGGAGCACAGAATGCTGGGTCCCCCGTGCCCAGCCCTTTGGGATCTGGAGTCTATGCCTTTCAGAAAAAAACAGCACCCACCCTTGCTGTAGAACAACCCTGCTCATCCCAGAAAATCCAAGCACACGCCCCTCCCTGGTGCATTCGTCCCCACATCTCTCCTGCGGATGGGTGTGTCCCCGTGCGCAGAGAGGACCCGGGCCAAACGCACAGCCCTGAGGAGCGCGCCCTCAAACCCAGCCCTAAACACATCTTGACTGCTTGGGAGGCTCTTTCGCGTCTGTGTCGGCCCTGGGTTCCACCCTGGAATCAGCTGGCCAGTGGCGACTGCACAGCGTTATATAACAATGAATTCCCCGCCGTTCCTCCCTCCCTGGAATCTCATTAAGGGACGGGCAGAATAGGACCTGCGCGGTTTTTCCAGGAAAACATGGAGAGAGGATGGGGAGGCACAACCGGTGCCCTGCTCTGAGGCATCGCGAATTCAAGGCACGGCCGTCTCCCCGTGGTGTAGACACTAACAATGCCAGGCCCCAGAACGGCAGCGACACCTCGGGCCGCTGCGATCATTGTCTGCCGGGGGCCGGCCGAGCCATCTGCTGCGTCCTCAGCTCCCGAGCCGGGCTGTCCCCGGCGCCCACCGCCCAGCCGCTTTGTATGCGCCAAGGCGGACGCCTCCCGGGTGGCGGAAGGGGCAAAAAAGACGCCCGAAAGCCCAGCTCCCTCCCAGGGCTCAGCCCCAAACCAAAGGGCGAGAACACCCAGAGGGGGCACCAAAAACCTGTTCTCGGTCAACAAAAAAGCCCCGGCCCTCCCCCTCTGCACATCCCCGCGCCTCCGCTCCCTTCCCCCGGGCACAGCATCCCGGTGCATCCTGCCCTGCTCGGCGTCCGCGCTGTCACCACGCCCGCGGGCTGCACCCGCTACGTCTCCCGAGGAGTCGGGAAAGGCTCCAGAAAGCCCCCGACGGCGGGGGCGGAAGGCGCGCGGAGGAGCCCTCCCCAGCTCCCCATCGCCGCCGCCGCAGCCCGGCTCGCCTCCCGGCCCTGCGTGTGCAATGTGGCCTCCATTTGCCCGCGCCCCGCAGGCCGGCACTGCAGCATCGCGCGCGACAATAAAGGGTGCAGCGGATCTGGTGCGCTCCCCAAGGCCACTCCGCGCACCCGCGCTATTTTAATGACTTGCAAATTACACGCCTTATAATTCTTTATGATTGCGCCCCTTCCACCATCATCACCACCGTCGCCTGCGTTTGCAACAGAAAAAAAAAGTTGGTCTCACTCCCTCCCCCCTAAAAATTCCATAGATGTTCTGTGCTACAAAAGACTCAGCCGAACGCAGATTCCCCAAGTACAAACTCACCGTAATGCGTGGAATATTTTTCTTCCCCTGATAAGACATCTCTCTCCAGGGAGAAAATTAATTTCAAGAGGACAGCTTTAAGGCAAAAAAAAAAAAACCAAAATTGCCGGGAAGGAGTCTTGGCTGGGATTTTTTGTTTTGTTTTGTTTTGGTTTTGGTTTTCTGGCTGGATTGAAAAAGGTACAACCGCCTGGCTGGTCTTGCTAGCAGAAGATTTCAGGAATGTAAAGGATAAATGCAATCCTCTGTCTCTCTTTCTTCCTCTCCTCCAAACACAGCCCCGGCTAGGGCGGAAAAAAAAAAGGAAAGAGACAGAGGGAGAGAGAACAGGAGGGAAGGGGGTGGAAATAAACTACAGCAATAAAAGCCTCGGTTCAAGTCGGCCACCGCGGCGCATGCGCCGCCAGCCACTCCCTTTCCTCCCAGGCAAAAGCCATCCGCTTCGAGAGAGCTGCGCACTGATTGGCCACCATCGTGGGATATGCAAATGAGGCCGGCGGGGCGGGGCGCGGTGGCGGGCGCGACGGGCTGCAGTGTGCGGCTGGGGGCGGCGGTCGGTGCGTGCGCCCGAGCCGGGTGCGCGCCTTTCGCGCCCTTTCTTTGGGCCTGGGCGGCGGGGATCCGGGCTGGCAGCGGCCCCAGAGGCTTCATCTGCAACGCGGGGACAATGGACGGGTGGTCGTTCGGACGAGGGGGAGGGGGCGCAACCTCGAGACGGAGGGGCTTCGGGGCCGCCCGCGCGCGCACGCCCGCCGCGCGCCAATCCGCGGAGGCCG